AGCCTGTTATAGTTCCAAATGGTGCAGTTCTAGTAGAAATATTCAGACAGAATATAAACTTGTTCTACTTTCAAAATGATAATAGAAATTACTGCTACTACTAAAAATGATAAAAAAATCACACACACACACACGCACACACACACACACACACACACACACACACACACACACACACACACACACACACATATATATATATATATATATATATATATATATATATATATATATATTATATATATTATACATACATACACGTGTGTGTGTATTGTGTGTGTGAATCAAGTGGACTGTGCGCCTAAATGGAACCAAAACCTCCGAATCAGAAAGCTCCGCCAATCGCCACAGCCAAGCCACGTGCAGAAAGGAAGGCGAAAACATAACGAGGCTGACTGAAAATGCCGACTAATCCGGTATCCAACATATCAATTCTCTAAAACACACACGCGTAAATACTCACCCATCCAACCAAACACAAAATATATATAATAACGCAATGGTTAAGCATGATTAGCGGAGAGAAAAAACAAACAAACAAAGAAAAGACGTACATAGACTCATACGCGTATTCAGATCCTTTTCTCATTTTCTGTTTCCTTGTTTCCCGATAGATGGCTCCACGTGTCCGCTAGCCGTAGCTTAGGGCAAAGCATCAAACATCAAAAGCAAGCCTTTCTATCATGTGGTCACAGGCCTTGAAGATATGTGCTTTTTTTCTCTCTCTCTCTGCCTCTCCTCTTTACTTTCTCTTTCTATGTCTCTGTCTGTCTGTCTGTCTCTCTCTCTCTCTCTCTCTCTCTCTCTCTCTCTCTCTCTCTCTCTCTCTCTCTCTCTCTCTCTTCTCTCTCTCTCTCTCTCTCTCTCTCTCTCTCTCTCTCTCTCTCTCTGTCCTTTTCTCTGCATGCGGAAACGTAAGCAAAGCCTCGGAGTGTGCTCTTTTATTTTCCTCTGTTCCCTGCTTTATTCAGATTCTGCCAGACGCCTGCTGCTGTTAAAAGCACGGTAAAGGTCTGCTGCTTCCGTAAGGAAAGTTTGCTAAATAGTACTATTGAACTTAGTCTGTAAAAGTAGGAGGAAAATGAGATTGTGTCCATTTGCAGGCCCCTCTGATCGGTGTTGCTCGTCATGGCGCATGCGCAGTGTAGGCCGTGACGTATTGCTGACGTCATGTGCTGCTCCTGTGCCCTAGTCGAGGCATAGTAATTACGGATTAAACAGGACCAGTTTCCCTCGCTCACCTACATGCTGATCCAGAACTGAAAGAGGAGGGGAATAGACACGATAAAAGCATCAAGGCAGCAGAGAGACGGGCAGTAGAGGACAGCCTTGTCTATCAGAGGGATCCATCTCCAGACAACCTGAAGCAATACCAGACGTCCAGCAGTGCCCTAGTTGCCTTACATCAATGTGTTCATCGTGATGCCTGATGATTTCACGAATACCATCAATCCAGACCAAGTGTGGGTCCATGTGGCGACTCATCAAGAAGATTTAAGGAAAAAGACCCAAGTGTACTCCATCACAGTCCAGTTCAATATACAAGATATGCAAGTCAATGTTCATAGCCTTCCTTCACATGTACAAGAGGTGCTCTCCTCTCAGAAAACTCGCTGTGTTCTACACCTGTCAGCAGTCTTGCTAAAGAAAGATGAGGAAGACATTCCAATAACAAAGGATGAACTTCGTCGTGCTCTTGCTAGCGGTAAAGCAACAGCCTCAGACAATGACAGCATCACATACCTGTCTTGCGCCTCCTCCTGAAAGTCCCTGGTGATCCCCTTTACAGCTTTACTCATGGATATGTGCCACAAGACTGGACAGAGCCTATTGTACCTGTCCCTAAGCCAGGCACCGACGAATTTAGACCAATATTCCTTACATTATGCTTCTGTAAAGTGCTGGAACGCATCCTCCTGAATTGCCTTATGTATCGCCTTCACAATAAACTCAGATTATATGGATTCTTGGCACAGCGCAGCACGCACCACTGTCGATTAGAGCTATACATCCGCTTCTCTGCAAGTCTAATAGCGTTCATGGCCCTGAAAAGTGCCTTTGACATTGCAAATGAAGCTGTGACCCTCGACCTAGGCAATATGTTATCCTATGTCCTTTTTAAAGGTTCCTTCATTACACCCATGTGCTTTGGCATTGGGACTCCACAGGGAGGAGTCCTTAGTCCATTTCTTATCTATATCCTTATGAACCGCCTTATCTCCAGGCTCCCTGACATCGCAGGGACAACAATTACAAGCTATGCTGACGACATCTGTGTTCAGCCTGAAGCCGTAGTCAATCACATACTGCGCCATCATTGGTCACAGCCATTGGGCATGTACTTTCAATACATGACCGTACTGCCAAAGCTGCCTGTAGGCTTACTGTACCTGCTGATGACACCTCACCGGCCACCCTCTCCCACTGCAAGCGGAGGATCCATGCTTCCGCTCATCTGCCAACCATCCAGCACAGGAACGACGAGCGACCTCTCGTCCCCAAGTACTACGCCGCGATCTGTTGGTCAGAAGACATAATGTGGTGGCTGCTCGGCTCCGGTTAGGCTACACCTGTGAGGCTGGTGAGCGAGTCAGGGGACGTGCCCCAGTACTCATTGTGCAAGTTGTGCGACGCACACAATGCCAACCACCTACAGTATTACTTCCTCGATTGTCCGAAAGTGGCTGGATTAATGCCAGAGATTCTGTCGTAGAAATATGCTAATACTTAATAACAGAGGACAATTTAGAGAAAGTACTTTGCTATACCCATACTGCAAATTTGATATATAGCTTCCACTGTTATCATTTCTGTGATTATTTCATCTCTGATTTTATAGTTCATGCATGGCGTGTCCTGCGTGTCACGAATACTTTGTAGCCATTCAATTTGTGCTGTAAAGGTTTGTCGCTCCCTGAGCGAAATAAATTGATGAAAACAAAATCTCTCTCTGCTTCTGTTTGTTTCTCTCTCTGCCTTTTCTTTATTTCTCTCTTTCTTTCTATGTCTGTTTCTTTGTCTCTCTCTCTCTCTCCCTCTCTCTTCATCTTTCTATATAGCATTCTAATATTCCTCATATTCTTTCTCCCTTCATTTATCCAACAAGTTGCTTTTTTTTTCCTTCACTATTGTTTTATTCCTTGACGACACAAGTTATATGTTCTATATCAAATAACACAAAATACACAGGGGTTCTTTCTAAAATAGTCTGGTACAAAGAGTTGCTGTTTTAGTTTGAGATTGATATTATTATTTTTTTATGAGGAGAGGGAGAGGAAGAGGGAAAGCGGCTTTTATGAAAACCTGATATAATGTTTGTGTATTGTGAGGGGAAAAGTGTCTAAGAGTGACTGTTTTTCTTTGGTATAATCATTTTGGAATTTCTCTCTCTCTCTCTCTCTCTCTCTCTCTCTCTCTCTCTCTCTCTCTCTCTCTCTCTCTCTCTCCTCTCTCTCTCTCTCTCTCTCTCTCTCTCTCCCTCTCCTCCCCCTCTCTCTCCCTCCCTCCCCTCTCTCTCTCTTTCTCTTTTCTTTCTTTCTTTCAACCAGGACAGCACGCAAGTCCCGTGCCATAGGTTCACCACCAGAGAGAGAGAGAGAGAGAGAGAGAGAGAGAGAGAGAGAGAGAGAGAGAGAGAGGAGAGAGAGAGGAGAGAGAGAGAGAGAGAGAGAGAGAGAGAGACAGACAGACAGAGAAAGAAGAAAGAAAGAAAAAAAAAGATATATTTTCTTTCTTTAGAATATACGTACATCCCTATTGAGGTAGGTCATGTGAATTTCATAGATCCCACAAGCCTAGGGACTAACCACCAGCGTTTCAGTGTAGTTGTGTTTACCTCCTTCTGAGCTACTGAGGGACCTGTAGTATAAATATTTACTCACACGACCTGACTGAGACTGAGTGTGTACCATATATATGTATGCTTACGTCTACTAGTTAAACCTTTGTTCCTTTCTCGTACCTGGGTTTTGTGGTATTCCCGAGGTATTTGCTTAGTGAAAAAATAATTTACTTACTCCAACCATACGGTGGTAAGAAGCGTATACAATACTTCTTTTCTGATTTTTTTTTTTTTTTTTTTTTTTTGATACATGTGAGTGATCTTATTTGTTGAACTCTCTCTCTCCTCTCTCTCTCTCTCTCTCTCTCTCTCTCTCTCTCTCTCTCTCTCTCTCTCTCTCTCTCTCTCTCTGTATCTCTCTCTCTCTCTCTCTCTCTCACTCTCTCTCTATCTCTCTCTGTCTATATATCACTCTCTCTTTGCTTTTCTATGACCAACCTTTCCTTTTTCTTCTTTTGTCATTCCCTCCCTCCCCCATCTCTTGAGTTTCCGCTTCTACATTTTTCCCCTTCCCCTTCCCTCTTTCTTTGTCATTTTCTCTTTTGTTTCTCTCTTTCTCTTTGAGTTTTCCCCTCAATTTGTCTAATTATCTTTCTCTTTTCTTTTGCCTTGTCTCTCCCCCCACCCTCCACCCTTCCCCATCCCCCTCCACCCTCCCCATCCACCACCACCTCCCCATCCCCCTCCACCTTCCCCATCCACCCTCCACCCTTCCCTCCCCCACCCTCCCTCATCCCCCCCACCCTTCCCCATCCCCCCTCCACCCCCTCACCCTCCCTCATCCCCCTCCCCTTCCTCCCCTCCCTCCCCTTCCCATCCCCCCTCTACCCCCTCCACCCTCCTAATCCCTCCTCCACCCCTTCCCTATCAACCCCCACCCAGACGAAAGAAAAGACAGACCCCCCCCCCCCCGTAGCCTCGTCCCGGAACCAGTGACCTCCTCCTCCTCGACCTCCTGCAGCCTCCCTCGTTCGAAACTCTTCTTCGTCTTCTCACTCACTCTACGGCGCTGTCTCCCTGCATGCGAACGCTGGCGACGGCTGGGGTATCTGCTGAGGATGTTGGAGATGCTGGAGGATGGTAAAGTAGGATGTGAGGATGCTGGAGGGATGTGAGGTGCTGTAGGATGTTTTGAGGATGTTAGAGGATGGAAAAGGATGCTGCAGATGCTTAGAGATGCTGGAGGATGTAAAGGATGCGTAGGATGTTTGAGGATGCTGAGGATGGTGAAGGATGCTGTAGGATGTTTGAGGTGGAGGATGGTAAAGGATGCTGTAGGATGTTTGAGGATGTTAGAGGATGCTGCAAAGATGGGATGCTGGGATGTTAGGATGCTGGAGGATGGAAGGATGCTGTAGGATGGAGGATGCTTGGTAAGGATGCTGTAGGATGATGTTAGAGGATGGAAAAGGATGCTGCAGGATGCTTAGAGATTGCTGGAGGATGGTAAAGGATGCTGGAGGATGTTTGAGGATGCTGGAGGATGGTAAAGGATGCTGTAGGATGTTTGAGGATGCTGTAGGATGGAGGATGTTAGAGGATGGAAAGGATGCTGCAGGATGCTTAGAGATTGCTGAGGATGGTAAAGGATGCTGGAGGATGTTTGAGGATGCTGGAGGATGGAAGGATGCTGTAGGATGTTGAGATGGAGGATGGTAAGGATGCTGTAGATGAGGATGTTAGAGGATGGAAAAGGATGCTGCAGGATGCTTAGAGATTGCTGGAGGATGGTAAAGGATGCTGGAGGTTTGAGGATGCTGGAGGATGGTAAGGATGCTGTAGGATGTTTTGAGGATGTTAGAGGATGGTAAAGGATGCTGCAGGATGTTTGAGGATACTGGAGGATGGTAAAAGGATGCTGCAGGATGTTAGAAGGATGCTGGGAGGATGTTAAAGGATGCTGGAGGATGTCTGAGGATGCTGCGAGGATGGTAAAGGCTGTAGATGTTTGAGGATGTTGGTGGATGCTGAGGATGTTTGAGGATCTGGAGGAAGGATGCTGCAGGATGTTAGAGATGCTGGAGGATGTAAAGGATGCTGTAGGATGTTAGAAGATGCTGAGGATGGTAAAGGATGCTGTAGGATGTTGAGGATGCTGGAGGATGGTAAAGGATGCTGTAGGATGTTTGAGGATGCTGGAGGATGGTAAAGGATGCTGTAGGATGTTTAAGGATGTTTGAGGATGCTGCGGATGTTAGAAGATGCTGGAGGATGGTAAAGGATGCTGTAGGAATGTTTGAGGATGGGAGGATGTGAAGGATGCTGTAGGATGTTTGAGGATGCTGGAGGATGGTAAAGGATGCTGTAGGATGTTTGAGGATGTTAGAGGATGGAAAAGGATGCTGCAGGATGCTTAGAGATTGCTGGAGGATGGTAAAGGATGCTGGATGTTGAGATGCTGGAGGATGGTAAAGGATGCTGTAGGATGTTTGAGGATGTTAGAGGATGTAAAGGATGCTGCAGGATGTTTGAGGATACTGAGGATGGTTAAAGGATTTGCGGATGTTAGAAGATGCTGGAGGATGGTAAAGGATGCTGGAGGATGTTTGAGGATGCTGGAGGATGGTAAAGGATGCTGTAGGATGTTTGAGGATACTGGAGGATGGTAAAGGATGCTGTAGGATGTTTGAGGATGCTGGAGGATGGTAAAGGATGCTGTAGGATGTTTGAGGATGCTGCAGAAGAATGGTGTAAAGGATGCTGTAGGATGTTTGAGGATACTGGAGGATGGTAAAGGATGCTGAGGATGTTTGGAGGATGTAAAGGATGTTGAGGATGTTAAGGATGTTGGATGCTGCAGGATGTTAGAATGCTGAGAGGATGTAAAGGATGCTGTAGGATGTTTGAGGATGCTGGAGGATGAAAGGATGCTGTAATGACTGGGAGGATGTTGGAGGATGCTAGAGGAGGTTAGAGGATGCTGGAGGATGTTGGAAGACGCTGCAGGATGCTGGTAGATAATGGTGGATGTTAAAGGATGTTAGAGGATGTTGTAGGATGTAAGGGATGTTGGTGGATGTTAGAGGATGTGGAAGATGCTGGTGGATGCTGTAGGATGTTAGAAGGTGGGAGAGGTTAGAAGATGTTGGAGGATGCTAGAGAATGTTGGCGGATGTTAGAGGATGCTGGAGGATGTTGGAAGATGCTGGTGGATGCTGTAGGATGTTAGAGGTTGCTGGAGGTATTAGAGGATGGTAAATGATGCTGGAAGAATGGGAAAAGATGCTGTAGGACGTTAGACGATACTGGAGGATGGTAAAGGATGCTGGAGGATGTTAGAGTAGGCTAGGGGTGGTAAAGGATGCTGGAGGCTGTTATAGGATGTTGGGGGATGGTAAAGGGTGAAGGAGGAGTTTAGAGGATGCTGGAGGATGTTAGTGTAGGCTGTAGGATGGTGGAGGATGATAAAGGATGCTGGAAGATGATGGAAGATGCTGAAAGAAGCTGAAATGGGGGAGGGAAAGTTGAGATTGGGTAAGGAGGGAGAAGGGGTAGATATGGGGAGGAAGGGAGGGGTAGATGGGGGAGGAGGGGAGTTCTGCTATGAGGAGGTAGGGCATCCGTGGAGGGTGAGAAAGGGTGGGGGGAGATGTAAGGGGGGGGGGTCATGGGTTGTTGGAGAAACGAGGGGGGGGGACGTCGGAATTGACAGAAGGTAAAGGGGTTACATAGCATATTGAGGCAGGATAGGGAGGGGAGGATACGAGGAGGGGGGGGAGAACGATAGAAAGTAATAGGATGTTGGGGGTAGGACGGGGGAGGGAGAGGGGGTTGCATTAGGTAGTCGGGTAGGAGGGGGGGAGGTAGTACTGGGGAAGGGGGCCACAGGAACTAGGGTATCATGGGTATAGGAGGTAGGAATTGGAAGGGGGAGAGATAATGGATTTGATTGAATTAAGGGGGGGTGAAAATGGGGGGGGGTTGTACATGGAAAAGGGGTGTTACAGATAAGGGATTAAATGGAGCATTGTAGGTAGAAGGGGAGGAAGAGGAGGGGGTAAGGGGAGGGAAGAGAAGAGGGAGGTAAGGGGAGGGGGGGAGAAAGAGGAGGGGGTGGGGAGGGGGGGAGAAGAGGGAGGGGGTAAGGTTGGAATGGTCTCATGGCGGTGGGTTTCGAGCTGGAATGAATCAGGAATAAAGGATTTCATGAATGGTATGTGCGCAATTGTTGTTGTTTTATTTTCTGTTTTTTTTTTCAATTTTTTTCGTGTTTGTATATGCCTATGTGTAGCTATTCCTGCAGAAATAGAAACAGATATAGATAGATATAGAAATTATCATTCACAGATAATCAGATGCAGAAATGATCATTAACAGATGGATAGATATAGATATGTAGATGGGTATATAATCAGATAAACATAGAGATAGATAGATAGATACTGTGTGCAAGTAGGTGTTTTCCGTGTGGCGTGTTTATGTGAGTTTCCGTTACATGTGCGTGTGTGTTTGTTTTCATTTACGGAAGTATGTGTGTATGTACGTGTGTGTTTAGAGTTTGGGTGTATGTGCGTGCATATGTGTGTGTGTGTACTTTCGTGTGCAGGAGTATGTGTATGCGTATGCATGTGTACAGGAGTATATGCGTACAAGCGTGCATGTGTGTGTGTACTTTCGTGCAGGAGTATGTGTACGTATAGCGTGCATATGTGTGTGTACTTTCTTGTACAGGAGTATGAGTATGCATATAAGCGTGCATATGTGTACGTCAGTATGTATGTGTGTGTGTTTTCGTGTGCAGACGTACGTGTGTGCGTATAAGCGTGTGTGTGTTTTTTTCGTGTGCAGACGTCCGTGTGTGCGTATGTGCTCCCAAGCTGGAATACGCACAGCAGCGTCCGTGCGCGCGTGTCCGTCGTGGAGCGGATCAGCTGACGTGGATGTCCGTCGAGAAAACACTCCCCGAGTTAAAAAGTTCATCGAATTCTGGTGTAATTTGATTGCGCAATTCCGTGAAGAATTTGCCCTGCGAGATTATTTCGCTTAGTAGGCTGAAATTTGGAGTCTTGACGAGTAAACTAGTTACCTAAACTCACGAGGGAAAAGGGAAGAGGAAAAAAAAAGAGAGAAAAGACGAGAAAGATTTAACAGGAAAGAGGAAAAGGGAATTTGTTTTTATACATATATAACTTCCATTTTCTTTAGGGGAAAAAATGGCTCAAACTGATTTTCTTTTGTCGACTCAGACCACTTCAAAAGGGACGGAAAAAAGAGGGAGATTCCACAAGCACTTTCTGCCTGTTTTGAGACGAATTCAATATCGTCCTCCCCCCCCCTCTCTCTCTATCTCTCTCTCTCTCTCTCTCACTCTCTCCCCTTCTCTCTCTCTCTCTCCTTTTCCTCTCTCTCCCCTTCCCTCTCTCTCCCTTCCTATCTCTCTCTCCTTCCTCTCTCTCTCCCCTTCCCTCTCTCCTCCCCTTCCTCTCTCTCTCTCCTTCCCTCTCTCTCTCCCCTTCTCTCTCTCTCCCCCTTCTCTCTCTCTCTCCTTCCCTCTTTCTCTCCCCTTCTCTCTCTTTCCCCTTCCCTTTTCTCTCCCCCCCCCCTCTCTCTCTTCTTCTTCTTCTTTTTCAGTCTCTCTCTCTTAGTATCTCTCTCTCTTTTAGTATCTCTCTCTCTCTCTCTCTCTCTCTCTCCCTCTTCGCTCTATCTATCTATCTATCTATCTATCTATCTATCTATATCTATCTATCTATCTATCTTTCTTCCTTCCCTCCTTATTGCTTGTATCTTATCTATTATTTGCATTTATCCTATTCTCACTAAAAGCAAGTACAAGAGTTATTTAGTTAAATTTACCCACAAATTTGTGCATTTAGNAGCTGAAGCTGACGCCTATTAGGGAGAGGACGAGAAGAGCGGAGGGAGGGAGAAAAGGGAGAGGGAGAGCGGGAAGAGGCAGGGAGTAAGGATGCAAAGAGAGGCGGAAGAAGAAGAGTCGAGGAAAAGGAGAGCAGAGAGAGAGAACTGACTAGAGAGAGACGGCTTGAGAGAGAGAGCGAGAGAGGAACGAGGAAAGAAAAAAAGAAATGAAAGAGCAGAAAAGAAAGAAACGAAAGAGAAAGAAAAAAGGAAAGAATGAGAAGGATAAAGAAAGCCCAGAATTAAGACGAAGAAAGAAGAAAGTTCGAATCCCCTAGCTCCTTGATGTCCCCGAAAATCGCATCAAAGCATAGCGAGGGAGCAAGAGAGTGACGAGAGAGAGAGAGATAAAAGAAAGAAAGAAAAAAAGACAGAGAGAGAGAGAAAGAAGGAGAAGCTGAAAGAAAGACAGAGAGAAATAAAGAAAGAAAGAGAGAGAGAGAAAGAAAGAAAGAAAGAAAGATAGCATATGCCTGGAGCTGAAACAAGGTCCGCCCCCCCCCCCCCCCCCCCCCGTGACGCCCGCGAAAGTGTGCGCTGATTTCAGCTTTCAGGGGAGAGTGGATGCAGCTTGAAGCTTGACGCCTAATAGGGAGAGGGAGAAGGAGGAGGTCAATAACGGGGGAGCAGAAAGGGCGAGGAAGAGCGAAGGAGGCAGGGAGAAAGGGAAGAAGGAGAGGAAAGAGAGGGTGGAGAGGAGAGAGGAGAGAGGAGAGAGGAGAGAAGAGAGAGAGGAGGAGAGAGAGAGAGCGAGAGAGAGAGAGAGAGAGAGAGAGAGAGAGAGAGAGAGAGAGAGAGAGAGAGAGAGAGAGAGAAGAAAGAAAGAGAAAGAAAGAAATAAAACAAAGAGAGAAAAAAGGAAGAAAGAAAGAAACGAAAGAGAGAAAAGAAGAGAATAAAGAAGCAGAAAAAAGACGAAGAAAGACTAAAGTTGAATCCCTAGCTCCTTGGTGTCCGAAATCGCATCAAAGCATAAGCCTGGAGCTGAAACAAGGTCCCCCCCCCCGTGACGCCCGTGAAGTGTGCGTCTGATTTCAGCTTTCAGGGAGAGTGGATGCAGCCTTGAAGCTTGACGCCTATTAGGGAGAGGGAGAAGGAGGGAGGGAGGGAGAGAAAGGGAGAGGGAGAGCGGGAAGTAGGCAGGGAGAAAGGGAGAAGGAGAGGGAAAAGAAGAGGGAGGGAGAGAGTAGAGGAGAGAGAGAGAGAGAGAGAGAGAGAGAGATAAAGAGAGATAGAGAGGGAAAGGGAGAAGGATTGGGAGTGAGAGGGAGAAGATGAGGGGATGTAAGGAGAGGGAAAGAGAAGGAGGGAGGGAGGGAGAGAAGAGAGAAAGGGCGAAGGAGAGTAGGGAGAGGAAAGGGAGGGAAGAAGAGAGAAAAATGGGAGGTAAAGAAAGAGAAGAGAAGAGAATTGGCAAACAGACAGACGGAGACGCTTATACAGAATTAAAAAAAAGTTGTGTAGTAAGACCTATTTCCTCCTTTTTATACTTCTTCCCTCTCTCTGTCTCCTTCCTTTATCATTTCCTTCTTGTCTTAATCGTCTCTTACCCAAATCCTCCTATTTTCTATTTCCTCCTTTCTATATTTTCCACTTCTTTATTATTTCCTTCTTTTCTTATTTCGTTTTTTCCCCAAATCCTCCTATTTTCTATTTCCTCCTTTCTATATTTTCCACTTCTTCTATACCCTATTTCCTCCCTCCCCCTATCTCCTTCCTTTATCATTTCCTCCTTTTCCCTTATTTCGTCTCTTCCCCATATTCTCCCATTTTCTCATTTCCTCCTCTCCCCCCTATCCCATTTCCTCTTTACCCTATTTCCTCCCGCAGGAACACCGCGAAACGCCGTTAAGTAAACCGCCGTGTCTCCTCTCAGTGCCAAGCCATTCAAGAGGTGCCATTTGGGGGTGTCTTTGCGTGAATCGTGGGTGGTGGGAGGGCGGTCATTACAAGCTCTTTACCGGGGGAAGTGTTGTCCGTGGTGCCAAAAGCTGGGTGGGGGTGGAGGGTGGGGGTGAGAGGAGGGGATGGAGAGGGAAGAGAGGGGATGAAGAGGGAAGAGAAGGATAGAGAGGGGATGGAGAGGGAAGAGAAGGGAGGGAGGGAAGAGAGGGGGATGGAGAGGGAGGAGAGGGAGGAGAGAAGGGGAAAGAGGATTAGAGGGTGCAGGATGAGGGAGAGGGAAGGGAGGAGAGAGTGGGGAGGAGAGGTTGCAGGTTTGAAGGTGACGGTTAGGGGGGAGGGAAGGAGAGAGGGAGAGCGGGAGGGGGTAGAGTGGGAATGGGGAGGATGGGGGCGAGGGAGGGTGCTGGGTGAGGGAGGATGAGGGAGGGGAGGGGGAACGGGTAGGGGCATCTCCTTGATATTTGAGATCTTTTTAAGATTTATGAAAAATCTCTTTTCATCAAAAGAAAAGCACTCTTTTATATCAATCAATAAAATGAATAAATAAACGAATGGATAAATACGTAAATGGATAAATAGATAAATTGCTTTATCAATTGATAGATAGAATAGAATACAAAAAAAAAAAAAAACAAAAAAAAACGGAGAGAGGGAGGGAGAGAGAGAAAGAGATAGAAGACAGACAGACAGACAGACAGAGAGAGAGAGAGAGAGAGAGAGAGAGAGAGAGAGAGAGAGAGAGAGAGAGAGAGAGAGAGAGAGAGAGAGAGAGAGAGAGAGAGAGAGAGAGAGAGAGAGAAGAGAGAGAAAGAGAGAGAGAGAGAGAGAGAGAGAGAGAGAGAGAGAGAGAGAGAGAGAGAGAGAGAGAGAGAGAAAGCAAAAGAAAACGGGAACA